CAGCAGCAACAACAGCAGCAACAACAGCAGCAACAACACCAATAGCAGCAGCAATAACAACAGCAGCAATAACTTAATGTCTACATTTTACAAAGGATGGTTTCCAATGTGCATATTTTTAAAGGCATTATTCACTTTTGAATAAATAAAATTCATCAATAAAATTAGAACCAAGGTTACCTGTCCTCAAGATCGTTTATCTCTTTCAAAAGCTTCTTCTTGTCCTCTGAAAGAACATTAACTTGTTCTTCTTCTTCAGCAATTCGTCCCTCAAGGTCATTCAAAAGCTCTTCCAGTTCAGTCTTCTTGGTCTGTAATCTCTGTCGCATTTCATCAGCTTCTAAGAACGCCTCTCTCTCTGCTTCCAACTGTTCCACGACAATTGCTTTCTCTTCTGCTAACTGGTTGTGCTTCTTTTCCAAATCAGTGTACTCTGTTTCAAACTTCTCAACCTTCTCCTTGACCTGTCGCAGTTCATCTGATTTGTGAGTAAGCTCCTCCTCCTGCCTTGTGACGTTCAGTAACGGTTTCACTTTAGTGAACAGTCTCCACCATTGCCAGTTTCGTAATTTGAGATAACTTAAGCAGTTTCTCTGGATGACACGAATAGCGCTCAGCTGTTGCACGCGCCTGTGGTATTGCTTCCTGGCAATGTTACCACGGCAGAATGCCTGGAATATGGTGATGATTTCAGTCAGCTTGATATCTCTTTCTTCTTCTAGGTGAGCAAGTACACCTGCTCGGAAAAACACTTTGGACTGGCCAATACGGTAGGAATTGTTATCCATTTCTAAGAACTTCAGCTACAAAACCAAGAAATAGAGAATAAATAAGTGCACAGGAAAATAACTTTAGCCTTTACTAAAATTATCATGGCTGCGTATTGAACACTTTTAAGATATACCAAAAAATAAATAAAACAAAATAAAACAAATCACTTTTATTTAAGTGTCTAGTCGTTCTAGCGCTTTTGCACTAATTGGGGACACTTTTTGCTCAAACGCACTACCACTACATTCGATATTCTATGCATACAACGTTCAACTCACATGTTGATTTTTAAGGAGGGAGGAAACCGGAGAACCCAGAAAAAAACCCTCATAGCATAGGAGAGAACAACACATCAAACAAACTCAATTCACATGTGGCGACCTCAAGGCTCAAACCAGTGACCAAACCTGTTGGACTCACAGCAGTGAAAGACGACGCGTTAGCCGCAAACGCCACCCATACTACCCATAAAACTGATCTRCAGTAAGTCAGGGTACAGCTAACACACAAATAAAATTGGAACTATCGTAAGATACTTATTTTGATATTGTCATTGTATGTATAGTGCAAGTGAATGTTTGGGGGGATAGGGGGTTGAAAATATGACTGTCGTCATGGCAACCAAACCATAACATACCATTTTTTCACAGGCTTTACGTCCGTCCATGAATCCTTTGGCAATTACACCTGGAGTAAGCAGCTCGTATCTAGACACAAGATCAACAATATATTAACACTACCAACTTAACTTATTGTATTTATAAATCCAGTCTGGTATGGAAATAAAATGCGTGAAATCAAATATATTGCTTTATTCCTGCCTACAATATGCAGGGTTCGTGCTGAGGTAACCACTTCAAATTCAAGGACTATTCAAGGAGTATTCAAGGACCCAAAAATGAATTTTCATGGAGTATGTTCAGCTAACTATGTCAAGGTTTTACACGGTGGTTGCACATGGTCGACTTTCAGATTTTCCAATCTTTCTGACTAGATCTATTTCAGAACCATGCAAGTAATGATCAAAGCAAAAATTTGTTTAGTCGATGTTTGACAAAAGAAATTGGCTTTAATCACCTAATTTACTATCTAGTAACTGAACTTAAAAGTGAATTAAACATTATAACAGCAAATATCAAAACTACTAATATTTTTTAATTAAAATTTATATAAGACATATTTCTATTACCTAAAAGATCAAACCTTCAAGGGGAGTACCGTGGACCCCATCGACCCCCCCCTCGATCCGCCACTGAAATAGATGCCATCTTCTGGCATTAAGAGAAACACACTTAGTGTGTCTCTCCATTACATGTAAATAACTCTGTCTCATATATTAAAATATTTATAAAAAAAGATGTCATCTTAAAAATATGTCCCCCAAAAAGTCCCACAATGCCCTGCAACCCCAACAACCCTGTCTTTTCCTAAATATTGTTGAAGATGTAGACCTACTCTGTAGATATGCTTCAATAAATCGTTATTATTATTATTATTATTATTATAACTATTATTATTATTATTATTAAATATCAGAATAGGCTCGTTTCGAATTCCAAATTACCGCTGTGTTTCTTGATTACAGACTCATTTGCTCAGGGTTAGCCTCAAGTTTGTGCAGAATATTCACGTGTTCTAGTCAAGGTCTGTCGAGTTTCAAAGTGTTTGTATTGTTGAAGTTGTGCATTCTTTACTTTACCATTGGTATTTAAGAGTAATTAGACACTGATACGAGGCTAACCCTGTGCAAATGAGTCTGTAATCGAGAAACACAGCGGTAATATGGAATTCAAAACTGGTCTATTGTTAATAATATATGCTTAAATGTACTAGTTTACTCACTAGAATTATCAGTATTGTATTAATAATACCTTTGTTTGAATTCCTGGAAGAGCATTCTGTTAGGAAATCCCTGTCTGCAGATCCTGATTCCTTCAAGTACACCGTTACATCTCAGCTGATCAAGAACCAGGTTTGAGTTGATTTTTCCAGCCTGGTACAACAGAGTTAGACGTCACAAAACAGGGCAAGCAATAAGACAAGTCACACTATTTATTATTATTATTATTACAATTTATTATAATTATTTATAATATAAATAGTCACTTAAGTCATGCAATGTTACGATTCAGACAATGAGAAAAGTCACACAATGAGACAAGTCACTTAAGTCATGCAATGTTACAAGTCACACAATGAGAAAAGTCACTCAAGTCATGCAATGTTACGAGTCACACAAGTCATGCAATGTTACAAGTCACRCAAGTCATGCAATGAGAAAAGTCACGCCTGTCCTTTGGCTTCRACAACATTTATTCAAAATCAGTGCATACTGTACCTTCTTCTCGTGGTTGGGGATAATACATCGTACAAAGTTTGGATTGGTGTTGTTCAACACATTCATTAATCTGGTTAACTGATCCCTGTACACCTGACTGACTGTACGGAACATTCCTTTTCGGACCTTGCTGCCGAATGGGGTTTCTGCTTGTGCGGCAAATGTGCTAACGAACTCTGTTGAAGAAAGACAACATAATAAGATTATACATTAACACCATCTTGTTTTCAAACGGAATCAGTTGGTACCTTTTATGTTCTTCACCTGCGACAGTAAAAAAATATTTTGCAAGAAGCCCTCAAAATGTGGGAATTTGCAGAATATCGAAAATCAAACTTACAAACTTACAAGATACTGTGGAAACAACCGAACTGTGGTTTCGTCAGGATAATACCTGATTTTTCCTTTGCTTTTTAATGAAACTAGACTTTAAAAAAAATGCTGTTCTATCAAACCATCACTAATTTATGTAGATAACAATCTGTATGTTTTGTTTGTTTGGAAGAGCCATGGTTTGGTGGTTTCTGTGGAAGAAGCAGCAGCATAGAGTAACAGTGTTATACCTGCGTCTTTCCACAATCCTGCCACAAACGAGTCACTAGAACCCTGCATGAGAGCCGTGATGTTGTCGTTCAGTGGATCCTGATTCTTTAGCAACCATCCATCGCAGTTGTAGTCAACCTGCCGACAAATGAAATATTCAAAAGTTTTATATTGTCATAATATGATTTTTGAGGGTACGCGATAGGTATTCAACCACCCAACCATTATTTTACTCCATAACCTGCAATCCTGTGATTTCCCCCTGAAATCCTGTTTCCCTCTTTCTGTAACAGAAAGGCCCATTTGTACAATTGCTGAAAAAATATCTTGAGACCTGGACAAAACAGGAAGCCCAATTTCAATAGAAAGAAGCTTTTCTCCTCCACCCCTCCCCCTAGCAATGTTGAACGGACAAATGCTCATCTGCCACCAATCGTTACCCGAAACAACATTGATTACTGGTGAAAATTTTACAAATATATCCATGGAATTAGAGATTAAGTATTGAGGCTCATTATTAGCCAATTATTAGCCATTATTAGCCAATTTTAGGTCTATGACCTAGTTAATAATTCATGAGAAGCAGAAAATATGTGAATTAACCCAAGGTTATGCTACCATTCCTTGAAAATACCACATTTATTTTTGACAACAAAGTTGTCTCTACTCACCCTTCCAGCATAGTGAATAACTGAGAAATGAGCCTTAGAACGGAATTCTGGAATCTGGAACTTCTCTTTCTTGCTGTGTTCTTTGATCAGCTTTTCCACAAGAGATTTGTCAGATGCTTTGGGGAACCAACATTCTTCGTCACAGAGGGCAAAGATACCCATTGGCTAAGGGAAACAAAGGTCACACTGGTGAGAGGTGAGCAACTGGGGGTAATAAATTATTCTCTTAATAATACAGCTTCTCATTAATCCCATATGGGTAACTGTCCAATTATTTTCTTAATTGGACAGGTCTTGTTGATTTGGGATTAATTAGGCAGCTACATAATTAATAGGTAATGGGATTTCATGCTCTCCGATCAAGAAATAATTAGACTCAAAAAATTCCTCTGACTGCCAAATCGTCCAAACTCAGCCTACGGCCTCATCCAATTTTGTCAGTCCTTGGAATTTTCCTCGTCCAATTATTTCTTAATTGGACAGCATGGAGTCCTATTACATATACTAATCTCTACAGCAATGTGATATTCTAAAGAAGACCCTATTTTTGAACATTGGAACTTTTATAGATTTGAAGTCCAAGTATATTTTTTACACAAGAACCTACCATTTGAAGCAAGTCAATGCAAGGCTGCAAATCCAGACCAAAGTCAATGAACTTCCAATCTATGCCTTCTTTTCTGTACTCCTCCTACAGGTTAACGTAACAAAGCAATCAAAAGGTCATTTGCATGATGGCGTCAATGATAGTTATGATTCATCAGCTTTTTAAATATAAATCAAGCCAAGCTTTCGAGCATCTTGCTCTTCATCAGGGCAAACGGTTGTAACAATAACTAACCTGTTCAAGGATGAACATGGTGTGGTTGAACAGTTGCTGTAGCTTCTCATTTGTAAAGTTGATGCACAGTTGTTCAAAGGAGTTCAACTAAAACCACAAAATACCAAAAATTTAATAAACATGCTGTCATGCAATCCTAACATACAGACAAACCCTAGAGCTTTATACCATTATAGGGGTGGAGTAGTAGTATTGCAAACACATCTCACTTATATGGTCTCAGGTTTAATTGCTAGACTCAGGAGTAGAGTTTGTCGGGTCTTTCCCTAGATAGTTTTTATTTATTTGTAAAACTGAACATGCTAATCTCTAGTTCAATCTGTGAGAGAGTGATGCCCTAACTTAGATCAGCCCAGAGGTTGTTTTAGGGTTCCATCTGTGAGTTAGCCATGCCCTGACTTAGATCAGCCCAGAGGTTGTTTCAGGGTTC